GTTCCCGCCTGTTATATCTACATGTTTCACAGGTTGCTTTTAAAAAAGTACTGTCGCGCGGAACTTCTTCACAATTTATGCAGGATTCGCGCTCTCGCGTGGTTTTCTTTGTAATGTATTCAGACGCCGTACCCTCGACATCTCGCGATTCATGCCGCACGCACGCTTCAGCAGCCCGCGTGCCCCTTGTCCCTTCTTTCCATCCTGCCTTCGGGGCTGCGCGAAATACACGTTGCAAGTAATCAAGATATACCCTTAAAGGGTGTACGATCGAAGACGAAGAGGGCGGGTTAGGGATACACGTGTTGAGTGGCACGCGAGCAGATCAGAACGAGCAGTCTTTGAAATCATTGTTGTTGTGGTTGGCGTTTGCGAGCTTTCATTAGTCAAGAATCATGATTTTTGACCCCCCCTCTGCCCGGCAACCATTGAATTGTCCAATTCGAGAGCTTGTCCCAGGGCAGGTCACAAGGAAAAGTGAGGTGTTATCACAATGTGCCCTTAGCCCCCGGTTTGCAAAGACAGTGGCTCCCGCCTGATACACCCTTCAAGTGTATTCTCAAATCGCGCCGTCGCCCGGAACTTCCTCACAATCTATGCAGGATTCGCGCTCTCGCGTAGGATTCCTTCGCAATTTATTCAAACGCCGCGCCCTCGACATTCAGGAGGCGCGCTGTCGCGATGGATTTCCTCACGATTCACTTGGGAATCGCGCTATCGCTCGAGATTTCCTCGCGACTCGTGCAGTACTCACGCTTCAGCAACACGCCTTCTAGACCTGGCCATTACGGGCCCGCCTTCCTAACCCGCCCGCTAGGGTCTGCCCGCCCGATAGGCCCGTCTGGTTCTGCCATGTTTTCTCTGCTCGTCGCCCCCCTCCGTCTAATCCCGTGCTCCATCTTTCTCCCTTCACCTTCCATCCGCCCTCTCTTCCCTTGTTTCAGGGGCTGCACAATTACGCGCGGCAGGTAAGGAAGATATACCCCCGAGGGGGTACGATCGAACACGAAGAGGGCGGGCACCGAGGGTTTGGGATATGCATGTTGAATGGTTTGCGAGCAAATAAGAGGGAATAGTCTAAACATTATTGTTGTTGCTGTTGTTGATGATGTTGGTGTTGTCTTGTGGTACTTTTTGTTGTTGTTATTCCCATTCTTGCTCTTGCTGTTGAGTTTGTATTTTTAAAAGTAAATGTTGTTGATGACACCGTCCGGCAACCGTCGTATTTTCTTCCAGAGTGCTTATCCAAGAGTTCGCACCCTGTTGTATACAAGGGAAAGTGAGGTGGTACCAAGCTGTGTCGGAGGCCCCCGGTTTGCAACATCAGCAGCTCCCGCGTGATATTGTAGTGGCCTTCGGCCAGTGCCGCCGATCCGGGGCGCTCCGACTGATGTGATCCTTCTTCGCCCTCGTCCCTCCTCTCTTTTTCCCTCCCCTCCTCTCACTCAGCATTTATCGAAGACGCCTACGGCGAATCACCGCCGCCCCCTGCCTTTTTGGAAGCGCCTATGTGGCCGAACGTTGAGGCCAGACCTGCCAAGCTATCGGACCACGTGTTCCCCGAATCGGTTTGGAAAGCCTTCGGGGAACACGTGGGCATCTTGAAGGTCATCTTGGCCGTCTTGGAGGCCTCTTGGGCAAGCTTTGGGCGATCTTTGGGGCTTTTTGGGCCGTCTCGGGCCAGCTTCGAGCCAACTTCGGCCATCTTGGTGGGTTCCTGGCACGTCTGAAGCCGTCGGAAGCCGTTTGGGGGGCCTCTATGGGCCGACTTGGGGCCCGCTTGGAATGCTCCAGGGCCGTCTTGGAGGCCATCTTGGGCGTCTGGGAGGCCATCTTGGGCGTGTTGGAGGCCTCTTGGGCCCTCTTGGGGCCCTCTAGGGGCCATCTTGGAGGCCACTTGGGCCATCATGGGGCTCTCTTGGGGGCCTCTTGGGCGATCTTGGGGGCTTCTTGGGCCGTCTTGAGCCGTCGGAGAGCCGAAAAGGCGCAAATGCCAAAATCCTTCAAAAACCAAAGGAAAATCAATGATTTTGGCCTCTTCGGACTCTCCTGGAGGACCTCTTGGAGGCCTCTTGGGCCGTCTGGGAGGCCTCTGGGGGGCCTCTTGGGCCGTCTTGGGCCGTCTTGGACTCTCTTGGGCCGTTTTGGAGGCCGTCTTGGACCATCTCGGGCGGACTTGGAGGCCATCTTGGGCCATCTTCGCGATTTTTTGAGGATGTCCCGAGCGAAACGGCCGTTTTTGGGCATTGACAGACGCATTTTGGGAAATGCGCGGGTGGCCGGCGGGACGGGCCGAAGCCCACTGGGGAGTTCTTTTAGAAAAAGAACCAAAACCAAAACTGAATCATCCAGCACGCCGTGCACCCCTGCAAGCAGGGGGCGGCGGATCGAAGACGCCTACGGCGAATCACCGCCGCCCCCTGCCTTTTTGGAAGCGCCTATGTGGCCGAACGTTGAGGCCAGACCTGCCAAGCTATCGGACCACGTGTTCCCCGAATCGGTTTGGAAAGCCTTCGGGGAACACGTGGGCATCTTGAAGGTCATCTTGGCCGTCTTGGAGGCCTCTTGGGCAAGCTTTGGGCGATCTTTGGGGCTTTTTGGGCCGTCTCGGGCCAGCTTCGAGCCAACTTCGGCCATCTTGGTGGGTTCCTGGCACGTCTGAAGCCGTCGGAAGCCGTTTGGGGGGCCTCTATGGGCCGACTTGGGGCCCGCTTGGAATGCTCCAGGGCCGTCTTGGAGGCCATCTTGGGCGTCTGGGAGGCCATCTTGGGCGTGTTGGAGGCCTCTTGGGCCCTCTTGGGGCCCTCTAGGGGCCATCTTGGAGGCCACTTGGGCCATCATGGGGCTCTCTTGGGGGCCTCTTGGGCGATCTTGGGGGCTTCTTGGGCCGTCTTGAGCCGTCGGAGAGCCGAAAAGGCGCAAATGCTACAAATCCTTCAAAAACCAAAGGAAAATCAATGATTTTGGCCTCTGCGGACTCTCCTGGAGGACCTCTTGGAGGCCTCTTGGGCCGTCTGGGAGGCCTCTGGGGGGCCTCTTGGGCCGTCTTGGGCCGTCTTGGACTCTCTTGGGCCGTTTTGGAGGCCGTTTTGGACCATCTCGGGCGGACTTGGAGGCCATCTTGGGCCATCTTCGCGATTTTTTGAGGATGTCCCGAGCGAAACGGCCGTTTTTGGGCATTGAGAGATGGGTTTTGGGCAATTTGCAGGTGGCCGGCGCGACGGGCCGAAGCCCACTGGGGAGTTCTTTTAGAAAAAGAACCAAAACCGAAACCTGAAACGTCCAGCACGCCGTGCACCCCTGCAAGCAGGGGGCGGCGGATCCAGTGGCCGTCGGCCTATCCCGCCACCGTGCGTGGGTGGTGGGTCAGAGGCCTCATGGATGCTGGTTGGGATCTCGTGGTTGGCTGGGACTTCTGGGGGCCTCTTGGGCGCCTCTTGGGGCTTCTTGGGGGCCTCTTGGGCCTCTTGGGGCCACTAGAGGGCCTCTTGGGGGTCTCTTGGGAGCCTCTTGGGGCTTCTTGGGGGCCTCTTCTGCGCCCCTTGGGGCCTCTTGGAGGCCTCCTCGGAGCCTCTTGGTGCGGGAGGGGTGGTACTCGAGTTCGGAACCCCCTCGGAGGCCACGATCCTTGTGAGGGGTGTCAAAAAACGCATCCGCCGGAAACTCGCACCCCCCCCCCCCCACCCCCCCTTCCCCGGCAGAGCCACCCCGGCAACCCCCCCAGAGGCTGAGGCTCAGCCTCGAGGCTGTAGCTGAGACTCCTTGAAACTCACACGCCGGATCGGCGGATTTCTTCAATTTATTCCCAAATCGCGCTCTCGCGCGGGACTTCCTCACAAGTTGTAAAGGAATCGGTCTCTCGCGTGGGACTTCACAATTTATTCAGAAGCAGCGCCTTCGATATTCAGGAATCACGCTTTCGCTTTGGCTTTTCAAATGATTTATTGGGTAAGCGCGCTATCGCTCGTCACTTCTTCGCGACTCATGCCAGACGCACGCTTCAGCAACCCGCGTGCCCCTTGTCCCTTCCTTCCATCCGTCCTCTCGTCCTCTGCCTTCGGGGCTGCACGAAATACACGTTGCAGGTAAGAAAGATATACCCCTAGGTGGGTACGATCGGGCGGGTATCGAGGGTTCGGGATATACGTGTTGAAGGGCACGCGAGCAGATAAGAGTGAATAGTCTTAAAGTGATTGTTGTTGTCGTCGTCGTCTTCGTCGTCGTCGTCGTCGTCGTCGTCGTCGTCGTCGTTGTGTTTGTTGTTTTTGTTTTTATTGTTGTTGCTGTTGCTGATGTTGTCGCTGTCGCTGTTGCTGTTGTTGTTGTTGTTGTTGTTGTTGTTGTTGTTGTTGTTGTTGTTGTTGTCGTTGTCGTTGTCGTTGTCGTTGTCGTTGTTGTTGTTGTTGTTGTTGTTGTTGTTGTTGTTGTTGTTGTTGTTGTTGTTGTTGTTGTTGTTGTTGTTGTGGTTGTTGCTTCACAAGTATTTCTCCCTGCCCCCAGGGACCCTCGCCGGGCCTCGGGACTGTAAAAAGCGCTTCAGGATGAAAAACCGGTCCCCAGGAAGGGTCGCGACCTCGGCGCGCTTTGCGCTACGTTCTGCTGTCGGTGTGCGGGGGATTGCGCCGAGGGGCCGCCAGGAATATCCTGACATTCAGAAGAGGAGGAAACACGTACCGATACCATTGCAGGTTGGCTGTTGAAAGTAGGTAATTATGGATTCCCAGATTCCAATCTACATCAAGCGCCTTCCTTCAAGAATTGACATGCTTTTGCTGTGTTTCGTTATTCTCTGGGCGGATGTGGACCAAATCTACTTTGTCCACCTTCCTACTTCATGTTTTTACCTACTTCTTCCGACCGGCGTGTACCTCTGCCCTTCCGTCGTTTTCGCCTCTTTGGGCCTCTTGGGAGGCTGGATTCGCCCCGAAGCTCCGGCCAGAACGAGCCCCGGGAGAGGTCCAGGGAGTAGCGGTAGATCGGTGCCTTCTTGGTTACCCGAGGCGCTGTCGGGCCGGTGACGTTCTTGTCTTCGGGGGACGAAGCGTCGGGAGCGTGAATTTTCGGAGGTCCGCGTCGATTTCTTGAATCGGGGTGCGGAGCGCGGCGCCAGAGGCACCGCCAGGGGGCTTCTGCGCCGATCCGAGAAATCCGCGCGGACCTCTGACAATTTTTGTCTCTGCCACTTTTTGCTCCTCGAGGTCTGCCGAGCTGATCAGGCTCTACGGCGCGAACGCGAGCGTGATGCTCTCGGGGTTCCTCTGCGTGCGGGGCGTGCTGTCCGTGAGCATCAGCCCGTGGCTCGGGGCCCTCTCGGATCGGCGTGGGCGGCAGCCCGTGCTGGTCTTCAAGGCGGCCCTGGTGGCGCTGTGGATGGTGCCACTGGCCTGCTTGCCGGAGGACTTCGAGCCGCGCGTGCTGATGTCGGGGGGCCAAAAGTGGCACAAGCATCAACTTTTGGACGTCCGCGCGGAGTTCTCAGATCGGCGCTGGAGTCCCCTGGCGGCGCCTCCGGCGCCGCCCGCGGCGCGGGGGGGTGTCCTAGCTTAGATCCGAGACGTCCGCGTGGGCCTCCGGCAGTATGGGCCCCCAAAGTATGCACCACCACCGCCTCCCTCACCCCCTCCCTCTCCCGGGAAAGAGGACACGAAGAAGAGGCTGGAGGAGGAGCTGTGGGATGAAGGTAGGGCTGGTGTATATCTAATGGCCTTCGACCCATCCCGCCACCGTGCCTAGGTCGTGGGTCAGAGTTCTCAGGGGTGCGTCTGGGGGTCTCTTTGGGGCCCCTTGGGAGCCACTGTGGGGCCCCTTGGGGGACTCTTGGGGCCTCTTGGGGGCCTCCTTGGGGCCATTCGGGGCCGAGGGCTCGAAAATGTCTTTTCAGGTTCCCCATCTGGGCCCCCTCTTGGAGCCATCTTTGCTCCCTCTTCGGCAATCTTGGGCGCCTCTCGGGCTGTTTTGGGGCCCTCTTGGGGCGTCTTGGGGCCCGTTTAGAGGCCTCTGGGACCGCCTTGGGCGTCTTGGAGCAACGGAAAGCCGACAAGGCGAGAACGCCAAATGTTTTCAAAAACTTGAGAAACTTCCCAGACTTTTTTGTTTTGGGGCCTTCGTTAGAGGCCTCTTGAGGCGCTTTGGAGTCTTCTGGGGCCGTCTTGAGGCCATCTTGAGCGTCTTGGGACGATCGTTCGGCGACTCGGGCCCTTTTGAACCGTCTTGGAGGCCCTCTGGGCTCGTGTCGGGGCCCTCTCGGGCTCGCAAAAATCATGCGGGAAGATGCGCCGGATACCCGTCATGACGCGGCAAGCCCCACGAGATTAGAGAATTTGGCCTCCGGGCGGCTCGAGAATCTTCAGAGGATTGAGGGTTGAGGCTCAGGGGCGTAGGCAGAGTACCCGCGGGCACGCCCCTCTCCTACCCAGAGGCACGGCGGCGGACCTGAGGAGGCAGGAGGAGGAGGAGGCAGGAGGAGGAGGAGGAGGAGGAGGAGGAGGAGGAGGAGGAGGAGGAGGAGGAGGAGGAGGAGGAGGAGGAGGTGGAGGAGGAGGACTCTGCGGGGATTTCCTGGATCCGCGCTGGGCCCCCCCGGCGGCGCCTCCGTCGCCGCCCCTGGCGCGCTCCGCGCGCCAGGGAGGGGGGCCCAGCGCAGATCCAAGGAGTCCGCGCGCTGCTCCAGAAGTTCGTGTTCATGGCGTTTCTCTTCTTCTGTTTGTGCCATTCTTTGCTGCCCCCCTGTGATGAGCCTGGTGCTGCTGTCCGCGCAGGGG